ATACTTGCACTAAACATGTAGCACATGTAATTAATTAAATAACAATGAAATTGCAATAAATAAACTAGGATATTTTATACTATTCTATTAAAACTTTAATTAAATAATACATTGCATAAACATTGATTAATCAAATCTAATAATTTTAAAATTTAATAACGTTATAGACAAATTATCCATAAAACTACTATTACTTATTATAATTTAAAAATTGAACAGGTAGTATAGTTTAGCAAATTTTTAAAAAATCAAATAAAACAAAAATCATTTACTACATAAACAGGGATATGATTTAAATTTTGTCAACCCTTTATCTCAATTAGTACTAGATCCTTTATTAATAAATTACTGTTCAGTACATACTGTACTGTACAGTACTGTACACTAATTGAGCCATTGTACTCAATATGATTTTTGATTATTATTATAATTTTTATTTTCTAAATTATTTGCAATGCTTCCCTTTTAGTGCTGTATATTGTATATCGATGTTTGGTCCATGGTTCATTTGGTCCATTATTAATGTAATTAATAAAGAAGCATGCATAAGTATCCATTATAGAATTATGCGCAATTCAATAGATATAATAAAATTACCTGGTTAAATTAGTACTATAAATACAGCTAATACCTTTTAATAAATACTAAAAATAATCCATAAAATACAATTAATATAACTAATTTGTATTTGAGTTAAATAATTTGCTAAAATGTTTACCAACATGCTTACCTATTTATTTGGCCTGGCTATGGTGGCCTTCCGTACTCAACATGTAGTTCCCGATCTTATTGACACTGTGCCCCCTAATCTACTCCAGGTAAACTATCAACAACACTGATTTTTATGGTTTAAAAATTTTTCAATTCTAATAATATTATCCATTTTTGAACCCAGGTTAAATACCCTAATGGGACAGTAATGTTAGGAAACGAGTTAACCCCTACCCAAGTGCAGAATCAGCCTACTGTCCACTGGCCCACAGAGGTGGGTGCTCTGTACACCCTGGCCATGTTGGACATAGATGTGCCTAATCATACTGACCGCTCAGACGGCAACTTCAAGCACTGGCTGTCTGTGAACGTACCGCACAGTAACGTCCAGTTTGGCTATACTTTGGCTAACTATATGTCTATACATCCACCGAAAGGCGTCGGTTTGAAACGCTATGTATTCCTGGCCTACAAACAGGCCAGACGTATAGGGGGTATGGACCCGGATGATAGTGTCGATGCCAGGATCAACTTTGATATCAACGCATTTGCCAAGCAATATGACCTGGGCAAACCTATGGCCGGTAACTTTTTCCAGGCTCAATGGGATGAATCAGTTGGGGATGATGAATGAGCAAGCTGGTTTTCAATTACTTTTGTTTTTTGGCTAATTTAAATACCATTTTAATTATGTATATTAAAATGAATGTCTAAATTGCAAAATATTCTAAATTCCTTAAAAATAATAAAATTAAATTTGCAAATATTCCCATGCTGATTTAGACCAAGCTGCCTTGATGCTTTTCAATTGACTATCAGTACAGTTCAGGTTTAAAATTGATAAATTATTGTAGAGTGCATTCTGTACAATGACGTTACTCAGCAGTGTGATTTAATAATTTAATAATAATAAATTTATTATCCGGGATACATGTGTTTTTGTAAATATTTATTGTCTGGTACAGTTATTGAAAATTAATTAGCTTAATAAATCAATTTAAAAAGCTACACATTTGCATCAATGTGTGTGATTCACCAGGATATTCTATAATTAAACGAGTAGATTATTATTATAAATAAAACTGAACTTGTATCTATTATTTCATTACAAATAGTATATTAGAGATTAATATACAATTTTAGTTTTGTAATTGAGTCTGATTAAATCATTGCAAAATGTTTCCCAACTTGCTCAGTTGCCTGTTTGGCATCTCAATGGTGGCGTTCAAAAACCAACAAATTGTTCCTGATCTTATCGATACTGTTCCTAAAGATCTGATCCAGGTAAACTATAAAATAATTTCTATCAATCTTTACAGTATAATTTAATAAGCATTGAAAAGCATAGAAATAATTATTAAAATTTATAAAATATCAAAATAATTATCAAGTTAGCGAAAATGATAACAAAAATTTCAACCTTGATAAATAAACTAAATTAAAATTGAATCTAGTTATCTTGAAATTAATTATAATTATATAATATTATAATTTTCACCTAGATTAAATACCCGAGTGGTGTGTCCGTGCAATTAGGCAACGAACTGACCCCGACTCAAGTAAAGGACGAGCCCACTGTCTACTGGCCCACAGAGGTGGGCGCCCTATACACCCTGGCCATGATAGACGTGGACGCCCCCAGTCGGGCCAACCACACGTGGAGGGGTGTGAAGCACTGGTTGGCTGTCAACACACCGCACACTAACACGAAGTTTGCCTACACTTTGGCCGACTATATGGGCTCAGGACCACCGAAAGGGTCAGGTCTGCACCGGTATGTCTTCCTGGCCTACAAACAGGCCCATAGAATAGGTGGTATGGATCCGGACAATGACAATAGACTCAACTTTGACATCAACGCGTTCGCCAAGCAATACGACCTTGGTCAACCCATAGCCGGTAACTTTTTCGTGGCTCAATGGGATCAGTCTGTAGAGGACTAAATGTGTGCTTGCTAATTGGCATTTAATAAAAT